TCTACTTACTGGGTATAATGAGTTCCTCCATAGGCCCAGTTCCCAAACACAGGTTGAAGACTGACAGACATATCAGGAAGGACAATGGCAGAGACATATTTGCTTTCCAACAACTTGTCAGCTACAGACGTTCCCGGGACGCTTGCAAGATTCTGATAAGTCCAGGTCCATTTTAAAAGAATGAAACATAAATAAAAGAAACTGTTAAAAATGTTCACTGGCTATACAACAGAACAGAAGAAAAAAGTTATTGATATTGATTACTAACTGTAAAAAGTCCACCACCAACCTTATAGATGCCGCTTCAGCTGGGGGGAAATGGAGCAGAGGAAGAGGGAAACAGCATCTGTGTTCTCTGAGTGAATGTGTGTTTGTGTGTGTCAGCATTCTGGTATGTTCAACCAGTCAGTGAAGACCACACCCATTTACTGCCTGGGAACAGCCTTGGTGAGCATTGGAGGCAAACTGCAGAGTGGGTGTCTGGTGATGTCTCCCTGCTGCAGTTATTCAGGAAACTTCATGTTGAATATGTGGGCATGTCATCTGTTAGTGCCACATCTGTGGGGGTGTGCCTACAATTAGCTTTTTATTGTAGTTGACCTGTTGCTGTACACAGTGAGTCAATGGAGGAAAAAATGATTTGCATAGTAATTCAAAGAACTTTGTTTTTACCTCTCAAAAGGTGGATTGGTGTGGCGTCTGCAGTGATGTGAAAACTACCGGTCTGTTGTGGTTGTGAGAGAGCTGCTCACTGCAAAAACACAAAATCTTACCAAGCATTTTTGGTCTAGTTTCTAGTGCAAATATATTAGCACACTTGTTAGTTAGAAGTAACTTTTTAACAAGATAGGCTTGTGTTTACTTCCTAATAATAATAAATCATTAATGGCAAAAAAGTACTTGTTCCATTGGCAGATTATTTTACTTATAACAAGAAATTTTTCCCATGACATAAACAATGGGTACTGTCCGAAAGCACAAGGTCGTGGAGACAAGTGGCAAAAACGCGTTTTTTGTGTGTAGGAATCGCGTTTTGCTGCTTATCTCCACGACTATGTGCTTACAGTTGTGGCCAATTACTTTTTAATATCAATCTTTCTTTTAAAATAACTTGCTTCATGACTGATAGATTTCCTTTATGAAAATTGATTACATTTTGTCAATTAGTTCAAGAGGGATCTAAAATTTATTAACCCTCTAAGATAGGATATTCATGCATTTTCCTTTCTGGTCAATAGATTTCCTAGATGTACCCAAGGAATCTGAACCGGAAATTTTAGACAAAATATAAATTTATTAACTCTAAAGAGCAAACAAATGTGTCTTAACTTCTCTCTAGGACAAAGTAATGGACATTTTCTACTCTACTGACAGTCCAAATCTTGTGAAATAGTTAATCAAAGTCCCCCTTTGGGGCACAGATTTACCTTTTGCATTAGTAGTTGAGATCACATTTGCAGGTTGTGGGTTGTTTGGCTCAAAGACCAAGAATTGACATGTTGTGGCATCTTGATGAAACACTGGGAAACCATCTAAAATGTTTTTTGGTTTTCTTTTGTCATCTATTGTGACAAAATTAAGTAGAATAAAACTTTTGATGGGAGCTATGTTCTGGTAAGTTAATATATAGCATCTAAGAATGCAAGGCTGTAATAAATAATATACATAATAAAATCAAGGATAAAATTACCAAAAATAGACCAAGTGGATGAAACAAAAGCCGCATTTGGCATACCTTGTTTAACTCTTGGTGTATCAATTAGTGTAGAATATTTTGTATTTTATTAAATATGAAAGCTGTGTTTGAGTGAAAGTCAGTCATATTATTCATAAAACACCAAGTTCCCTTTCTTGTGCTCAGGTTGCTCAGTATCTGAACTTGGAGCTACCCATCTTGGATCAGTTTCTGCTCAAACTCGGAGAGGAGGAAAACAGAGAGATTCAAAGGGTCATCAACAAGTGAGTGGGTGTTTTTATTCACAAAAAGGATTTTATGTTGCCACTGGGGTATTATCTTGAAAAATACTTAACTTTACAAGTGCTGTATCGACACTGCATTAATATTTTCAGTACGTTTATCACAGATGCTTAAAGATGTAGTAACACTTGTTGGCCTCTTGGTGGAGCCAGACATCATTTTAACTTCCATGTTTTTTGATTCTCTTGATTTTCACTGATAACTTTCGTGGATTTGTGTTTGTGTCAGGTACCAACACCAGCACAGACTGCTGTCCCATATGCTGAGCTTTAAGATGTCCCCTCACATAGAGACCAGTGTCTGACCACTTCCGAACTCAGTGAAAGGAAGAAAAAGTATCTCTGAGGAACTAAAAACATCTGAAAACATTTTCTTTTTAGTGACATTTGGACAATGAAAAAGCATTTGGCAAAAAAGCAACATAAAGAAATACATATGATACAGCACATAATTCTATTTTGTCCTACTGATGGAACTATATTTATAGCTATTTTCCATAAACTTGAGTTTTTTTAAAAGAAAAACTGTGAAGTATTCAGTTGTACATTTTGGTGCCAATCTGAATTTTAAAAATGACAAATAAAATGTGTTGTTACTTCTGCAAGTTTAAGAATAAATTGCATTCCACTAATTTATATTTAAATTGATTATCATTTATCAGATAGAACAAATGAAGATTGCGTGCCATAAAAATCTCATGAAAGATCTGTGTGGAATTTAGAAAGTTTCTCATCTCTGTGGGATAAAATAAAATATATGATTTAGCTCATGTATTATGTATTTGTATTTCACAAGCTTAGGGGCCTTTAAAAGTCAAACTGTAAAACAGGTAGAGTAAGTAAATGCTGAAATGAGGAAAACATTGTCAATGTAAGACTGTTACGCACAAAATGTCACAAATCTGTGGGGGGGTTTTTTGTTGTTTTTTTTTATAATGAAACATTTGCTGATTTGGATTTGTCTAAAGTATTTTTACTTCCACAATGCCTTAACATTTTCATAGAGACTGCAGCGCTTCCTTCTGTCCACATAGTTTATCTTACCCTTGCTAAACTATTAACATCTGTGGAACATTTACAAGTTTAATCACATTACAGTAACAAACTTCAGTGTGGCGATGGGAGTTTAAACAATTTATTCACAAAGTGGCAAAAGTGGAAAGACAGCAGATATGGTCTTCCAGAACTTTTAAAATAGAAATCTGAAAAGTATCCATTGAGCTGAGCTGTTTAGCAACAAAGAGAAACAATTTTAAAACTTCCTGCCTGGACAACCTCCTGTTATAAAACAGTGAGGGTAATTTTCCCCTAACGTTGTAACCAATGTGAATTATATTTAGTCACCATAAAACCAGATAGATATTCAAATATGGAATCAGGATGGAGTTTATTCTTCTGTCAGAAATTTGGTTGGAGAGTGTTAATGCACCATCACTGGGCTACGGTAGTATTGAAACAAACACTACAAATGTCCAAAAGTGCAGTGATAGACATTATTTTATGGCACTGTTTTTTGTCTTTAAAAAGTGATCTGTAGAGCAATCATTCATGCATAAAGGTTGGTTAGAGTACCCCAAATTTGTACTCGAATCAGAGTAGTATACTTTAAATACGTTTAATTAAGCAATTGTAAAAAGTATTTGGTAAACTTCAGAAGTACTGAGTAACTGATCATAACACCAGATTTAATATTCAAAATGTGTCCTCAGACAGCCAAAAGTATAAACGTTATGTGAACATTCTGGTATTTTATAGAGTATTACCAAAATATTTATATAAATAAGGATTTAGGTTTGGAGGCTGGTTCTAGACCAAATTTATCACAGGGGCCAGGATAGTCAGTGGTTTTCCATGGCAATACTTGAAAAAGAATCAAACAAAAAGAACAGAGCAATATTTCATCGTCTGATATAATAAGTGAGCCACAGAGCCACTTGCGTCTCCAGAGATACAGGTTGCAGATCCCTGGCAGATGGAAAGCGTGATCCTGTACAGCAGTTAAAAGTGTAGCACTATAATTTTTAATTCATTGTTAAAGTAAAATTGTGAAGATTAAAAAAATTCCACCACTGAGTATTAACATAAGACATTTATTTAGTATTACTTCTTTGGTACGCCGTCCGCCCCCGTCTAGAACCGCCCCTGGGCTGCAGGTCTGTATCTGGTGCATTGATGACCATTGAGCAATGAATTCATGAAATATATCAACATTTCAAAATAAAACATACAGAAAGCCCTAACAAACCTTTTAAAGTAGGAAGTATTTATGCATTTACTGTTGATCTAATGTATGATTTGTTCTTTAAATGATCATTTGTATTATTTTGGCTGATATTATTATACATTAAATAAGCAAATAATCAAACCAATATAGTCTACTAAAAGCACAATAAGAAACTTAATCTTAGCTAAATGTTACCATATCAGGGTCTGCTGTGGTCCTCTCCTGATCTATTCTGTCTGGTATTGCCTCACTAACATTATTCAGCCTGGGATTTGCGTTTTCCTTCTCACATCTGCATCTTTACTAGAGGTTTTACTTCTAAGGACGGTGGAGAAACAGGTCGAGGATGATTTAAAAAGATCTGGGTTGAGAGCGCCTCACCGCGGCTGCGTAGTGTCCGTCTCTAGGCAACCGTGACAACAGCGTGGGTCCGTAGCGTTCTGGGGTCCTTAAGCTCATAGACATGAAGCTTAAGCTCCCGCAACCGTAACGATAATTTAGCTGACCTTAATATTTCCTGTGTTTTATTTTGGTGTGTGTGATAGACGTGTCTATCGGACATTTATAGAAATACGGAACAAATCGCATCCCTATTATTATCATCCCAATTACATTTAACATACAGGACGATTCCGTATTTTACGGGGCGGGTGACAACACTGGCTGCACAGTGGCGCAGTTGGTAGAGCTGTTGCCTTGCAGCAAGAAGGTTTTGGGTTCGATTCCCAGCCCCGGTCTTTCTGCATGCATGGGTTTCCTCCCACAGTCCAAAAACATGACTATCAGGTTATTTGGCCTCTCCAAATTGCTCCTAGGTGTGTGTATGCATGGTTGTTTGTCTCTGTGTTGCCCTGCGACAGACTGGCGACCTGTCCAGGGTGTACCCCGCCCACAACGATAGCTAGAGATAGGCACCAGCAACCATCCCGACCCCACCGAGGGACAAGGGTGTAAAGAAAATGGATGGATGGTGGCAACCCTATGTCCCACCCTTCATCCCCCTGTGAGTTAGTCAGACAGAGCAGCCTGCAGCCAACTAGTTTCACAGACCACACATGTTAACGGTTTCTCTTTATTACAACCTGCACTTGTTACTGAACCAGGTTGGTTTTAGTGACTCCAGCGAGTCTCAAGGGTGTTTTACATATAGTTTGGAGTTAAAGCAATCTATGAAACGTTTTCCACCCTTTTCTCTCCAGAATAAGGCATCATGGTGTTTTGACTAAAAATCTGTAAATTCCGTCCTGTCAGGCGACAGGGCCTGGATAATACCCATGCTAAACGGACGGCGGAGTCCGGCGACGACAGGCGTTTAATTCTGTAACAAAAGTATGTTTTTATCTTTTAAAAAAAAAAAAAAAATTTTACTTTTTTTCTTTTGTAACCCATGTTAATTTAACAAATATGAATTATAGCCTGTAGTACACTACATTGTCGATAGGTGGCAGTAAATGGTTTCAAGTAGTCTAAAACTACATTGATATGCGCAGAATATGGACTAGAATAACCAGAAGAAGAAACTGGAAGAAACGTTTTGTGGTCATTTTATTGACAAAACTCTGTTATTTTCAGTATTTTTCAAG